CTGTTGTACTTCGTTCAGTTACGTATTGCTATCACACACAAGGCTTTTCTCTCGGCTTACGTTGTTTCCGGTCACTAACCTAACCACCTCACACTTCCGCCATATGGAGGGGAAAGGAGGGCTGGAAGGGAGGAAGGTAAAAGAAGCAGGTGGGGGAGATGAAGAGGAAGAGGATGGTGAGGAGGATGGGAAGGGAAGGAGGGGGGATCGATTGGAGGTGTAGAAGGTAAGTTATGTTGCGGTGTGAAGAGGAGGAGGAGGAGGAGGAAGCCACACACACACACAGGTGAGAAGTTTCACTACTCAGCAGTGGGGTAGTGGACAGGTAAGGGCCACTTACCTGGTGAAACTAAAGTAAAACACCTGATTGGCTAGTGGTGATTAATCGTAATTAACCAAACCTATCTGTGCTAACCTGTCCTACCCTATTTAGTCTCGAGTATGATGACAACCCCATAAGTACGAACAAGTAAAACTAGTTCACTTTTTATCCAAATAACTTTCAGGCTATTATTGCTTATATCTCCTGTACCGTCTAAGAAGCACGTAAAGGCAGAAACGTTGACCCACCCGACGCAGCACTGTGTACCGCGCGTACAGTTGGCAGGCCTGTACAGGGTAGCCAGTTACACTATTCATTCTTATAATTATTAAGGTGATCCGACCATCGTTCATTGTTGGTATAAATGTGTTGGCATAGCAGGAGTACAGTAGTAAGTCCATTATTACCAACTATCAGTCGTAGAACAACTCTAAGATCGTATCTCGTCAGACGCGTTGTACTATCTGACCCCGGCGTTAGCAGGCTGTACCGCATGTTACGCCGTTAGAGGATGCGGTGTACTGAACGGTCAATCAGCTGATCTTTGGTATACATGAACAAACAAGATGACCGAAGCTGAATATAATTTGTTAAATAGACGTTGATGTTTCTCCCTCTGTCTGGTCATCAACAGTTTACTACGATTGGTTGGTGCGTTCTGTGTATACTTGCTTCTGAATAGTGTTTGTCTGGCGCTAGCGAAGAGTGTAGTGCCTGGAGGAACACCTGTCATGTTTGGTGATGATAAGACCCCACGTGTGTCTGGGCCAGCTAGACTCAAACCCATGACAGTTGAGATAACGCGCGTCACAGCTGCCTCACCACATCCAGGTCTTCTGGGTCGGGTCCAAACAGCTACAACTAATTACTTATGTTTCTGAAATTGCCGCAGTCTACAACATAATCATAATAAAGTTATTTACAACCACGTTACGAAGCAATCCACCTTCAGCTGCTTGGTGAGGCGTGGCGGGAAAAACAGCATTATTCTGGCCCGCCCACCGTGCACTCCAGTACATTACCAGTGCGCGTGTTGCTCAAGTGACTGTACTGTGAGGATGTTGCAACGTTACGCCAGGTCTCAATAATCATCGACCAAAACTGATGATTGTATTTTACATATACATAATCTCCACACACTGTATCTAATTCACTATAGACTGTACAGAATTATCCACAATTCACATAACTCACAATAACTACCTACCACACCACCTATAACTCCCTCCTATAACTCCCTATAACTCACAATAACTCCCTATAACTCCTAATAACTCCTATAATTCCAAAAACTCCTATAACACCATAAATAACTATAACTCACCATAACTCACTGTAACTCACCATAACTCACCATAACTCCCTATAACTCACAACCCTATAACTCACAATAACTCACCATAACTCCCTATAACTCCCTATAACTCCCTATAACTCCCTATAACTCACAATAACTCCCTATAACTCACAATAACTCCCTATAATTCACAAAAACTCCCTATAACACCATAAATAACTATAACTCACCATAACTCACTGTAACTCACCATAACTCACCATAACTCCCTATAACTCACAATAACCCTATAACTCACAATAATTCCCTATAACTCTCTATAACTCCCTTTAACTCACAATAACTCCCTATAATTCACAATAACTCCCTATAATTCACAAAAACTCCCTATAACTCACAAAAACTCCCTATAACTCACAATAACTCCCTATAACTCCCTATAACTCACCATAACTCACTATAACTCCATATAACTCACTATAACTCACCATAACACTGCTGTCACTTCAAGAATGTCATCAACACTTACCTGTAAAGAATAAGAAAATAGTGTTGGTGACGTTCTAAGAGGTAAAGGTCTCTTCCTCTCCTCCTCTCTTCCCTCCCTTCCTCTCCTGTCTTCCCTCCCCTCCTCTCCTCTTCCCTTCCCTCCTCTCCTCTCTTATCTTCCCTCCCTTCCTCCCTTCCCCATAATAAACACATTATATAAAGATCTCACTATTATTATTATTATTAGTAGTAGTAGTAGTAGTAGTAGTAGTAGTAGTAGTAGTAGTAGTAGTAGTAGTAGTAGTAGTAGTAGTAGTAGTAGTAGTAATCATCATCAGGTACTCATGTCTTGGGTGAGTCAACCTGTAATCACATACTGTACTCAGCAGGTAGGGCTAATTACGACCCCTACCTTAATTAATTACAAAGGCTAAGGTGTATACTGTCTCTCTCTCTCTCTCTCTCTCTGTCTCCCTCTAGCATACACACACAATTAACTGTTCTTTCTCAATATCTCTCTCTCACTAGGTACAAATTTAATTCGTCAGTCTCAGGGCTTCATGAACTCTAACCAGGCGAAGCAACTCTCCCCCCCCCCTCCCTCAGTCATTAGTTATTAATTTCGGATAAAATTACCTTCCACCTCCAGGATAAGAGAGAGAGAGAGAGAGAGACCCCACAATGGCGCCCCCCGACCCAAACAAGAGTGTTGCCAACGTAGAGTCAACAATTCCTTCGGTCAGTCATTCGTTTCCGACCGAGCCAGGGTTAACATCATTGAAGGACCCATACCATATTTCCCGCCATAACTCCCAAAGGTTAGGTTAGGTCAGGTAATATTAGCTTACGTTAGGTTATGCCCCAATACTGGATGCAGAGGATGACATCAAGGAGGCCTTTGACGCCGACCTCGACAGAGTGCTAACCTCTATCCCCAGAGAAGATAAGGTTGTGCTCCTGGTGACTTCAATGCCAGAGTTGGCAGAGATGCTTACATTTGGCAGGGAACCATAGGGAGAAATGGACTAGGCAAGTGTAATCCCAACGGCCTACTCCTCCTCAACAAGTGTGCTGCACACAACCTCACTATCACCAATACCTTGTTTAGGCAGGCTGACAAGTTCAAGGGCTCGTGGCAACACCCACGATCCAAACACTGGCATCTGATTAACTACATCATTGTCAGAGAAAGAGATCGCCGAGATGTCCTCATCACCCGAGCCATGCGTGGCTCAGACCACTGTGACACTGATCATTGGCTCGTCAGAGACAAGCTCTCACTTCAAATCGACCCAAAACGGCGAAGGCATCAAGCCTTCAGAAGAGGTTTTAACACTAGGCATCTGGAAGAGCCAGTGGTAGCACATGCCTTTCAATTCCACTAAAACATTTTATGGGGCAGTCACTCATGGTACAGCCCCCCTCCACTCATCCGTTGGTACCTCCCTAATTAAAGACG